TCCCTGGACCCAGCGGAGATGCAGCAACAATTGCAAGTCGACTCCTGGAGTTGTATCCTTTCCTGGAAGACCCTTGGCAGGGGCCATGGGAAGATAAGGAAGGATAAAACTTCCATGGAAGGCTTTCGGTGCACAGCTGACTAGGGAAAGGACAGACAGATGCAGTGTGAGTAGTCATGACAGGACAAGGAGACTCCTTACCTGAGAGGGCTGAAGAGTGTAGAACAAGACCAGAACCACTGGGGAGGTAGGAGATGACTGGGCTTGGGTTGCAGGAGGGTTCATTGCCAGGCAGGCCTAATGGGTATATCCAGGCAAAGGTATAGTATATGCAGTGGATGATGCCTTAACATTATCTCCTCCCAGCTCTGTAACAGTGCCTTTCCGGACTGCAGTGGAGGCAGACATGGCCCGCAGATCCCTGGTCGCCAATGCCCGTCGCCAGCAAGTGATGGTTCAGCAGGAGTTCACAGTGAATGACAGTATTCTGGCTGTGTCAGTATTGCAAGTCTGGAGGGGGTGGCCTCGGGTTTGGGAGGTAGTGTGCACTCTAGTGGTGCCCTAAGGGAGACACTGGTGAATTATATGTAAGCAGGAAGGCATTGGGTGGCGGACCTGAACAAACCCCTCATCATTTCCCTGACGGTGTCACTTTCTCAATTTTAGTAGGTGGACTACTGAAGACCCTGTCCTCTTCCGAATTTCCATCAACACTTTCCTTGACCAGCTCTCCCTAGTGATGAGAAACATTCAGCGCCTGGAATTTGTGGCTATTGTCAAACGAGGACGAGGAAGAAGTCGTGAATCCTAACATGTTACCAGATACAAGAAAAGTCAGAAGCGTTTCCTGTTTTGAGTAACTGTTATTTTGAACTTAAACTTCAGCATTTCAATGCTGTAATGCTCCATATCAGTCTCTTGGTTGCACTGTTTCTGGGTTGCTGAAGGAATGGGTGTTTAAATGTTACTGAACAAAATAAAAAATGCCAAATATTTTTCATCTGATTTTACTTTAATATGGCAGAAACTTCCAGATTTTCTCATCTGTGTGGTTCTGTGAAGAACTTGTTCTGGAATTTAATTGTTTGAATAGTCCAAAGTAATGTAAGACAGTTTAGGATATGGAGGGAAAATTAAATTAAGTATAGTCTTGGAGCATTTAATGGGGTTGATTTTTTTTTATTTTAGCATGCAGTGCAGCTTATTTCTCCATGGCATTTTCATACACACTTGGTTTTTTGTTGTTGGATTTTTTGTGTGTTTGGCTTTTTTGTACTGTCTTCCTTGCTCGCTCTCTCTCCACATCTATCCCAACCTCAACACTTTCATCTTCAGTATCCCTCCCCCTTTTATTTTCATATCAGATATGTTCTGTCACCCTTCCTACTCCTTTAAAAAAATTTTTCACTTCTCTGGCCCCTCTACTTTACTGGACTCTACATACACTAAGTGCCACATAAATATGTTTACATAAAAGTTAGAAGATAAATTTTTATATTGAATATTTTGAGTTTTTATTTCCAAGCCTTGATTTTCTTTTTCTTTTCTTTTTTCTTTTTTTTTTTTTGTTCCAGAAAGGTTTATTGTCATGGCAGGTGGTGGATGGATCTAAGCATACCCCCCCCCCAAAAACTCAGGGCAGTCCTGAGTTATATAGGGAGGGAGAAAGGGGCGGATCTGGGGAGGTTCTGGGGAGGCATACTTAATTTGCTCTGCCCTCTGGCCTTCATTAGTATGTAAATCCCTAGGCCCAGAGGCCTCTGTGCACTTTGGGAGGGGCTGTCTGGCCTTCATTAGGATGTAAATCACGGCCAGGTGGTGGTGGCGCACACCTTTAATCCCAGCACTTGGGAGGCAGAGACAGGGGGATTTCTGAGTTCGAGGCCAGTGCGTTCCAGGACAGCCAGAACTACACAGAGAAACTCTGTCTCGAAAAAACAAACAAACAAACAAACAAACAAAAGGATGTAAATCGCTAGGGCCTGAGGCCTATAGTTTGGTCTATGTGACTGAACAATGTAATTCTATGGAGATGTGACTGCTTTTCAGGACCCTGGGTTTTGGGGGCACGCTGAACTCCTGCCACTTCTCACACAGAGTCTCGGGGTTCTAGGCAACTGCTCAACCATGACACAGGATACCCTTACCCAGTCTCACATCTTCTCCCCTTTACTTTTTTAAAAAAAGGGGGTCACTGGGGTGAAAATTTTGGATGAGGAGGCCAAAATAAAGCACTATGTAGGCCAGAGGGGTTAGCACCATTAAGTCACAGAGTAAGGGGAGTTGGGGTGGGGGGTAGGGAATGCAAGGGATCATTGAATCAATTGAATTCAGGTGGTACAGTTTGAGGGTAATAATATCTGACTAAT